TTCAGGTTCTAAAGAACGCCTAAAGTGGCAATATCAGCATTTAATTGGTTCAGGTTTCTCACAGTTTAAGGTATTATTCATCTTTCTGTCATGAGTTGGATTTTTTTCAAACAAAGCTGCGTGGGAATTTCTGCTTACAATGTCTCAGTCCTGTTCTTCAAGTTTTCCATCACATGGAAATGTGAATGGCATGATATAATAAATGCTCAACTCACTAAGAACATTTAATCAGATCTCAGTAACTTTTGGGATCTACTCATAGTCCCTGTCAGACATTTCTGCAGGAGCAGTCTTTCTTTGCAGTTTTGCAACTTCCAGAGTGTCAAAATGTCTTCCCTATTATTCTCTTCCTTGCTGAAGGCAATGTGTCATCTGTAAAGAGGTTTCACACAGATATCACTGCGTTTAAGTCTCACTTTTGCTGACCCTGGTACTTTTTTGTAACATCTGCCTGACAGAGTGTGGAAAGTGATGCACCGTCACAGTCATGGGCTAAAATGGCCAAATTCTGAACCAATATATTTGCTGAAGGACACCACTAGTGCAGTAGGGAGTAATGGCTGACTAGGCTTCTCATAGGCCCCTACCAAATGTTTTTTATTCATTATTACAGATTTGATTTTGCTTCTATGTCTGCCAAGTTGTATTTTTAATCAATTTGTTGTAATGAATATTGAGTCCATGTTAGTTATTTCACTCAGCTGAAGGAGCTGCTTTATATTGGGAATGTTTTCTCAGGTGGACTAGTTTAAACCACTTACAACTACTTTAAGTCATAATGGTTTCATTTCTTGACACCAAAAGCACTAGCTTGCTAAAATAAGGCACATTTATTGAACAGCTTTACTTTAACGTCACCTCAACATCAATTCTGATAAATCCTTGAACCTTCGCACATTAAAATTACAATCCTCAATGTTCTCTATTCTATCATGATTTATATATTTTCTGCATATATATATCTATATACATACTTGCAGTTGTAATGTGATGAGATGTAAGAACAGATCTAGGGGTATGGCCAGTTCTCTAAGGCACTTTACTCCAGCAGTTAACTGTGTTCCTAAGTAGCTTGAAGGGAAGGGATACAACATCATCAGGCAGACAATTTCACTAAATAAAAAAAACTACTTATAAAACTGCTTAGGGGCTTCATTTCACACAGACAATTAAGAACACTGCTGCTGAAAGTACTGGCATATTGTATTTTGGCAGCCTTCACCCACTTGTTTTATGCCTTACATAAACCTTTCTAAGGTTTTAATTGGAAATGCTCCGAATTTACTTCAACACCACAATTAAGAAAAAATTGAGGGCAAAAATACATCTATACCATTTTACTTAAATTAAACTCATTACAGTAGATTTGATTGCTTGATCACAAACTTGAAACATCTCAGACGGATTAACAGGATTTAGAACATAGAGCGTTTATGGGATAGAAGGCGAGGCACTTCTATCTATTGCAAATACTGTACGAATAAAAATGGAAATGATAAGAAGGACAATAGAGTTTATAAAATGTTTTTGTACCAATTAGCAGCTGAAATTTAGAATCTAAACTCCGAGCCGAATTCAATCATTAGTCCACTACATAAAGTACAGATTACATTAAGATGCATTTTTGATGTGAATGAAACGTTTCATGTGGAACAAGCAGCTTTTTAAAATAGATAAAAAGTGCATGAAATAAAATCAGCAACAAGTAACAACTGTTCTGTCCTGTTTTCAGATCATCCTGTTTTTTTTGTTTTGGTTTTTTAATCCTCTACATTTACAGCAGAACATGTATGATTCAGCATAGTGTAAACATCCACTTAAGTTGAAGTAATCCTTGCCTATTTTGCATACAAAAATGGAAAAGCGAATTACTGACGAACTGTAAGCAAAATTACATGCGATACATCATTTTAAGGCCATAACCTTCTAGTTCCTAAAAATATAAATGAAAATAGTGTGACTAAAACACAGCCTAAGCTACATCAGTTCAAACATGACTCAATGTTGTTTTTTTTATTCTCGAAAATAATAGGACTTTTTTGAAAAGCAGTAATAACGACATGCTTGAGAATAGGCACGTCTCATTGTATTACATTTGTTCTAAATCCTGTCAACCAAAAATGCAGAAAATTTCAGACCTCTAGCTGCGACACTTCCAGGGCTGTGGAGCTTTGAACCTTTGGTGTCACCAGCATCTCCAAACCTCTCCAAATGTGCCAGATTGTGCCAAATGCTTTTACTCAACTATTTGACCCATGGAATAACACTGAAGCCTTTATGGTCACAAAACATTTATGAAGCAAGTATTTTTAAACTTTTTTTCCCGAATCAGTGTATATAACAAAATGTAACATCTATAACCATAAAATAACATAAAAATCTATTTAAAAAATAGTGAAACTGCTGCTTTTCGAACTAAAATAAACCCCAGTGCCTTTTCTGAGCTGTATTTTATTTAATTTTTCAGCCTTAGGCATTGTAATAAAACAAAATCACCATCCAAACTTCAAAAATATCGGAGCGTTGTTAGTAATGTGCTTCGATCTGTGCGCACTGATCCAATCTTAGCAGTGTAATATGCAACCTAGCCATGTCTACCCTTGTTTGAAACCTTATTTCATTTGCTACAAAGCCAAACAGCCCATGTGGTCTTAACCAATAACAGCAGGACTCTATGAGGCGTAATCTCGCTCTACTCTGTGCGTCATTGGCTGAAAGGCAAGGAGCACTTGTGGGACTTCTTAGGCTGTCCCTGACTCAAATAGCATCATACAAAGATGCGGACAGTTTTGTCTTGCAGGTGAGAAGACGATGTAAAGAAACATACCAAACATCGAAGTCAAAGGTTTGAGGAAGCATTAGCTACCAGCTAACTTTTCTGATATTTAAAAAACGGATGTGTGGCGATTTTCTCATCATAGAATATTTTTATTATGAATATTCTGGATTACTGTTAATCTGTGGACCCTTATGGATGAATGGTGTACAAATAATTGAGGACTGGGTTTATAAAACGGCTTCTAGATGCCTTCAAAGGTATGTTGTTGTGGCTGCTTTGTAATGTTTACATTTTGACATGCTGCTATATCTGTGTTAATTGTGCTTTGGTGCTCGCTGTGTGAAACTTGGTGGTAGAAATCCGGAGAAACCAAACATTCCAAACAATTCAAACATGTCTATATTGGTAAAAATGTTACTGTTGTAATTTTCACGCGTTCCGAGTTATTAGGTATAAACGGTTTGAAAACGGTCGCTGGAGATTGGGTGGGTTTTGAGGGTAGATATGGTTTGGTTACTCAAGTATAACTCCAGTTCAAAATTTTGTGGTTTCAAAATCTCTATAAATTTATGAGACTGCAAATCGCATCACTGACATCCCACTGTTCAGCAATCTGAAAGACTGCTTCTAGATTTTACAGGAAAAAAGTAATTTGGCTTTTAGAAAGGATGAAGAGTTTGAAGTCTAAATACTAAAGGATCGACAGCGAGCATTGTAATAAAAGCACCTGTGGTTTAAAACTAGACTTAACAGGTGAAGTAGCAGACTGCCAGCTAGATTTCTCAGGATAAATAAATAAATCAAATAATATTTTCTTGCTATTGTGTCACTGTGGGAAAAACAAAAAAACTGAAAAATGGGTTAAATATTTTGCACATTAAGCTCTAATAAAAACTACTACTAAATTTATCAGCTTTTTTGAAATTCTGAAATCCACAATTTTTAGTACATGTTTTAGGAAAAGAAATCATAAACAGGAATAGTGGGCAGTTTAACAATGATTTTTGTTTATCATTTTAGAAGTACATTTTACTCCTTAGTTTCAGATATAAAGAACTATAAAATCTGAAACCACTTTCTTTGTATTATTAGTGTCAAAATACATTTTCAACACTTTCTCTAGTTCCATGCTTTCCCTTTTAACTGTTGTGTAATAACCTTTTTTTTCTCCTCTTTCATCAATTTCAATACATAATAAATGAGTTAATGGAAAATATAAGCTTACTAAGAAATTTGGATCAGCCATCTAATTGCACATTAAACCCTGCACAAATCTTTATTCATGGCCATCCTCTTGCTTGCATGCATGTACAACTTCTCAATTAGAGAAGCGCTTAATTAATTCTGTTGGTTAAAGAAAAAACTAATCATTATTTAGATGTTTTTTTTTCCTACAACCAAACCTAATTTGTATTTCCATCACTGTGCTGAATTTTCTCCGACATTGGGGAGAGGGGGGGGGGTTGAATTCATTCAAAGAAAATTTTATGATTACTTTTATTGGAAATGTGAAATCGAGCTTACAAATCATAATAATACATAAAGACTGAAATATGACCATATGATCATCGATGGAACATACAAGATTTTTGCTGCTGAATTACATTGATCTTAGAAATAGGTTATCAGAAGTTTTACTTGGTTCACACACTGCCTGAATTAAATAGAAAAGGCTGTCATATACAATTAAAGAGCGGCCAAGTTGGAGAAATTAATCTCTGCTTAAAAGTACGTGGAGTAAAAAAAAAAAAAAAAAAGTTTTATTTCTGCTCTGATCAGATTAGGGACGTGAAAAAGAAAGTCAGCTTCAAAATCTTTTAGTTTGATTCCTTTTTATACAAACTGGTGTTTAGGTTTAGTTCCAGTTATTTCATTTTAAAAATCTGTGTATTAATACTGTGTTTTGCAAACCTTTGAATAAATGTACTAAATTTAAAAGATGGATTTAATTGTCGTTTTTTTCTTTTTTTTTTTTTTTTCTTTCTGTGACAGTTTCTTGAGGATATTTACACATTTTACCAGGGATGCTAATCATGTTCCCCAACAATTAATGGACAATTTCAAAGAAAACTTTCTTTCCTTCCAGCCTCATATTCCTCACTACCTCGGATGATCCTATTTGACCATACAGCAAAACAACATTCCTGCAACCTTGTTTTTCTTTGGCCCCAATCTTCAAGTTGTGTGTTTATTTTTGTGTATTTGTGTGCTGCTAACTCACCCCAGCTTGTCTGTCAGGTTCCACAGCACATTGGCTGTTGGCATTAGTGGTGAACCATCGTATAAAACCACTGAGGCCCCCACTGCCAGAGCAGACACCAGCCAGTTCCACATCATCCACCCGGTCTAAAAGAACACACATAGACAGAGATCCAACAACGGTGATAAGTTATCTGAAACAAACACTCCTTTTGTCATCATCATGGATAAAGCAGACGGTAGCAAAATGGACGGCTCCCGCAGACAGCGATTCACATGATTGCGTTTCTCATTTGGCAGCATGCTGCGGTTGGGTTTTGGCACTGTTCACCGTTGGTACTAATAATGCAAATATTGATTCCACTCCGTGAAAAGCATCTACTGGACTAAAACAGCAGCTTTAACAATACCAAGTGGTATATGAACTTTTGTTCAGACAGCTGATTACTTTGTTGAAAGAAGATCAATTGTCAACTGCAGCCAGAACCTCATATTTGCAGAGATTTGTGACGAGCAGCTGAACAGAATCGTTTCTTTAAAGCCTAAATATGCAGTATTTTAAATGAATAACTGGATTACATCACTTTTAATAGTAAAATAAAATGTTCAATTTAAAAAGTTAAAAGGAAGTGATATGTTTCTTTCACTATTAGTTGACCTGTTTGCCACATGTGACCCTAAAGATTCAGAAATATATAAACATTTCTGCACATCAAATATTATTCCTTTTATTTGAACAAGCACCTTTCATTTTAAAGCTGCTGGTAATGATTTTCTGATGCTGCAGAGTCAGCTTCATACCGTCCGTCAGCAATGCACCTTTTTAATCAGGTTTCCTTGTGCAAAAAGAGGGGAAATAAAGAGGATTGATGTAGAAGGTAGAGTTTTAACAAGACATGGAGGTGAGCATAGTTGGGTTCTGAGTTTGATGAAAACCGGGTCAGATTTGTTCTCAGGGATTACAACTTGATTTTAAATGATCATAATAAAGCACTGTGTTATTACGTAGAAAAGCTTGTCAGCGTAATGAGTTTCATTTTATAGTTGGAATTTCTGCTGATGCAGGAAGAAAAACGTTATTTTCATCATTTCTAATAAACTGCAGGTTTGGAAAAAAAAAAAAAAAAACTGGTTTAGCCAATGATGTAACTGTGCAAAAAAGCATGGCATAATTTATCTGCTGAAATTAAACCATGTTAAAAAAATTGTTTGTTTAAAAGTTTATTTAAAGCTGCAGTTTTAGTCATTAAATTCAATGGAAATCGTACATCTCTTTGATCATATTTTCTCCCTTGATATAAAAACCAGACTTTTTACATGTTCCATTTTAAACTTCCAGACTATTCAACACTGTTTCCTTGTTAACCACAAGCATCTTAATAGCAGTTCAGTCATCATCAGTCACCCCAGTCGGCCTCGGCAGATGGCCGCTCACACTGAGTCTGGTTCTGCTGGAGGTTTCTTCCTGTTAGAAGGGAGTTTTTCCTCTCCACTGTCGCTACAAGCATGCTTAGTGTGAGGGATTGCATCAGAGTCAATGAGTCAATGCAATCAACTGGTTTTCCTTAGATAGAAATCTTTGAATCAATTTGACTGTGTGATCTGGTGAACTGTAAAGTGCCTTGAGATGACATGTGTTGTGAATTGCCGCTATATAAATAAACTGAATTAAATTATTCCTAATGACAGCTTCCATACTTTACAAAACAACATGATACATTTTTTTTGCTCTTTTCGCACCACTTAAATCTTTTACTTCAAATAAAGACTTAAGATTATTGAACAATTGTGAATTTATTATAAGTTAGATTCTTTTATTCTGCTGGTATGATTTCAAAAAAAAAATCTGCTTTAGTGATTTTTTTTAGCGATCACTCACAATTTTCCAAAGTGTACAAATTTTACAGTATTTAAACAATACATAATAATTTGTTTTATATCATGGTTTATTTATTTTGAATATGTTTTAATCTAGAAGTTTGTACATAAATATTCAGCAACAAGTATTTTAACTCACATATGTTCATAAGAGTAAGCATTTTAACCAATTCCAGTTTAAAATGTCACAGGTCCATTTCAACAAGATTTTAAAGCTTTCTTCATTCCAAACAGGGTTTAAATAGCTTTGCATTCAACGTTGAATTAATGCATGTAGTTACTACACCAAAAGCAGAACACTGAATGGTAAAATGTTAAAAGTGAGATGCAATCTGGCAGAGATAACAGATGTAATGAAATATAACTTTTGTAAATATCATGACTATGTAAATGCAGTATTTATGCTGACCCATAGAAGATGGAGAGAAGGTCTGAAACAGACAAAACTTTTTGAACTTTCCCAGACCTGGAAAATATTACAAGCTAATTCCAAATTTTTCTGACTTCTTCATACTTTAAGAACTCGCGGAGGCAAAGCTGACAATCACAGAAAAACGGATTGAACCATCAGCATGTTTTCGTTTAACGCTCACGGAGCCAGAGTTACCCTCAAAAACTAATTGACACAGCTGTCGGACATTCTTCTATGAAAGTAGTCCAGTAAAACTGCTAGTGCTATCACGATACTATTATTGTGGTCCTCTGCCCATGAGCAATTCCACAGCTGTCTCCCTTGTCTTCGTCCTCATCGTCCCTTTATTTGAAGCAACAACATCCGCTTAGATCCCATTCACTGTTGGACAGATATCTGTCAGATTCTCCCGACATGATTCAGCTGTATGAAACAAATCGTGCAGTCTTGCATCTTCCATCACACGGTGTGACAGAAATATTTCATATCAAGACAGCACACTGGAGAAGATCCAGTACAATATTTTATTGAAGAGCAAACCAGGCGTTAGTTTTACGTTTTATCTCAGTTTGTAGGAGTGTTTGGATATTTAATGGTGTGTTTTCTGTTCCCTTTCTGTTGAAAACTGCAGTGAAGTTCCTTGTATATGAGAGAAAGAGATGAATGCACATTTGCTTTCAGAGCAGTGTGTCATCAATGACAGCTCACATCAGGATTCAAAGGCATGTACAGCATGAAAATAGGGTCATAAACCAGAGGAAATAACTTTCAGTCAATATCCAGTTATTTATGCTCATACTGTTTCTTTCTGTTTTATTCATTCAGCTGTTTCTATCTCATTGTTTTTGTGCTGATTTTTGTAGATAATTTTAAACAAGCACGGTTAATTAACAATATCTATGAGCAAAGTATTAAGCTGATGATATATATATATATATATATATATATATATATATATATATTTATTTATTTTTTATTTTTTTTTTTTACCCATTTAAAAATAAGCTAAGAATTTAGCAACAACAACAAAACTTGGCCAACTCACTTATTTATCCTAGACAAATACATCAGTGCCTCCAAGTCTGCATTTTAGTTAATGTTGTGGCTCTTTTTACTATTAAATCAAACCAAAGGCAAATATTTTGCAGATAAAAGATAAATATTTGTCTAGTGCTTTATTTTTGTCCACTTTTAGAATATTTAATTTTATATTTATTGTTTTTTTAAGCTACAAATCAGAGAAAATTGCACCCTATCATTTTTTTTTAAATGTGCTCCAAACAGCTGGTGAACCGAAATAAGTTATTCTTGAATTGTGATCAAGGGCCACTCAAAAACAAAGCTTTAATGATAAATCAGTTCTACATGTTTATTTTTTTAGACACAGCTGGATGTTTTCAGTCAAAATAAGGGGTAGATAAGGTCTTCCAGTGGAATTTGATGGCTCTCTACAGCATATCAAATCATCTGAACAACAGAGAAAAGAAATGTTTGCACATCATACCACAAAATCAATAGAAGAAGCTTTGCTCAACAACTAAATGTGATAAAGGAAACAAAAAAGCTCCAATTAGCAACAATTCTGGCAATAGAGTTTCTAGTTGTAGTTTTTTTTTTTCCAGGCTTCATGTGAACACCTCTTTAAAAAAAAAAAAAAAAAAAAAACCAAATGTGGAAATTACTGTGTGCTCTACCAGCATGAATCCTACTTCTGATCTGTTGCAGTGAAATGAAAAGGAAATGTGTTGAGATTGTGTAATAACATCAGCTTTTTATGGGCCACAAACTTTTAAAACCTTCAGAAAGAAACCGAAACAGAAAATTTGGTGCAACAAGCCTCAGAATAAATGTCTCCCAAGTTAAAATTTTGGGGGCTTCAAACACATTAATGGTAATGAAAAAAGAAGAGAACAATAACTCACGGTGGTGTAGTAAATGATGACATCGTTGGAGGTCATGTTGCCATGGAGAACGTGTTCCTTCAAGTGCTGGATGAGAGTGCCCTAAAGAGACGAGGAAGTGAGCGACTTCATTAGAGTGCATCGGCTTTTTTATGACCTTGATTTCCTGTTACCGGTTTATTTATAAGGCACTTTTGAACAATAAAGCTTGTTGCAGCAGCAAAGAGGAAACAATGCAGAAACACAGATCAGACTTAATGGCTTTACAAACACAAGTCTAAGATTAATATAAAGTAAGAGCATTGAAGGAATTTGCACTTTTTCACATAATGGTATCTTTAACAATACAGCTGATCTTATTTATGGTGAGGGTGGTTTTTTCAGTGTAATATTGTTATTTTCATGAAATTATGATCATTAATTTGGAAAGAAATAAGCAATGAAAGAATAAATTAAGTTCAATTGAATAAAACAGCTAAATATAGTTTTAACAATACCATCCGCCATTACTGGAACAAATTGCAAAGACGTGTAGATGAGCTTCTCTCAATAGCCAGAACAGAAACAGTGGGTCCTCTCCAGCCTTTTTGTCCATTTCACTTTAAATCAAACAATTGTGGTGAAACTTGTGACCGATTACATTTTTTTCTAAGGTATACTGTTAGTCCAAACAGCACATCCTCTTTTCAAACCACAAAAATCCGTGCTCATAACCCCAGCCGACAGTCAATGCTTGTTAAACAAACCAAACTATTTTTGGAAAGGTTGGGGTCTGCAGCTCTTCACAGTTGGTAAGGTCATTATAGCTTGTGCAGAGTGAACTGTAGTAAGCATTTGTGTTCAGGTCTGCGCTCCCCTCGTTCTTTTTAAACAGGTGCTTCACCTGCATGTGTGTGAATACAATTTTGCACAGAAACTTAGTTGAGGCTCAGCTGCCACTCCCACCATAAGGTCTGTGCCATTTTGTCACTGGCAGGATGTTAACAGAGCTGTAACAAAGCAGAAAGCAGAACACTACTGCGGCTAATTGGCTGATGCACCTAGGACTGCCATTGTCACAATACGACATGTATTCCGGCAGTGCATTACGGCCCAATTATCGGCCGGATGCAAAGAGGGAGGAAGCACAAAGGAAAGAGATGGGAGAAGGGGACAAAGAGAGAGAGGAAAAATAGGAGGGAGAGAAGGTAAAATGTGTAGGTGGTAAAGGAGAAAAAAAAAACATCTCAAATTGAAGCAGTTTAGATTGAAAAACTCTGGCAAATGTTGAAAAATTGAGAATAAAATGATTTTTTTAACACTAAAATGTTTGAGTTGGAGTATTCAGAAGAAAATGTGGAAAGTGTTATTTTTCTACATATTAATTTTCTTCTAAACCACATTTATCTGACATGCCACCTCTAAGACTGAAATTTTGAATTCAAAAGGAACAAAAACAGCTGCTCCGATCATGGAGGTCTGCTGCCATCTTGTGGTGATGTAAGATACGACAGAAAAATGTTTTTGACTATAGCTGTTGTGTTGATACAAGGAGATATCATTGATTAAATATCGAGAAACTTAAAAGCTTATCTTGTGTAAATTTCTTCAAGAAACAGAAAGCTCTGTCTTAAAGACACAGATCCATTCTAGTATCATAAATACTAAAAGTCTTATGTTTAAACAAGTAACGCAGCCAATCAGTATTTGTTGTGCGTTCTGAGTAACCATTGTTAAAGCCTAATGCCAGATATCTCATATTTTCCTTAAGGGACTTTAAAGCATGTAACATCTTAATCCGTGTTGACACGTCTTGTGTAACCTATCTTAAAAAAAGTAAAATTCAATAAGGTTAACAAAATAATTTATGCTTTGGTGGTTAAAAAAGTAGTATGCAGTGGTCTTAACATGTGTCCCCTTACAGATCTCTTTATTCCTTCTTCTGTTTTGTGTCACATGTATCAGATAAACCTAATTATCATGTCAGAAAAAACAGTCTGAGTGAATAAAAAAAACCTTTTAATTAAAATAAAATGGTGTTATCAAGCTTCCAAGCCAATTAGGCCCTATAGTAAAAAGTATGAAAACCTGAATGGTAAGGAGTCTTTTATATCAAGCTGAATGAATTTGGGTCCTCTCTTCTTTGCAGAATTACTTTTATTCATCAAATACTGAAGTTTCCAGATCTGTGCCGAGACATTCAGTCCCTAAAATATGTTTTTTTTTCTCTCTTTTTTTTGAAAATGAAACAGATCTTTGTCCCACTGGATAGTTAACCTGAGCAAAAATGGGATTCTGGGAAGTTATTATCAGGAAGTATTTCTCCTATCTGTGTTAGAAAATTTAATTTAGCACCACAAGCTTGTGTTAAAAAAAAAGTAAGCACATCACTGGCGTGGTGGAAGCTAGCCATAACTAAAAGGCTAGTCTGATGTACATCATCTTTTTTACCAGTTATTAAAAGGGAGATCTTTATAATTATGGGACTTTTTTTAAAATATTTAATGTCATTTTATCCGTCTTAAACCATCCCTGTGATTCTACCCAGTTAAATTTAATCGGGTCTGTATCAATTAGCCAGATCAGAGGCCCCTCACTAGTTCCCTCATGAGGAATCACAAAAAGCCCTGTCCTGCACTTTCCAGATTCCACACTTTAAAAATGATCCTTTAGGACCAACTGTTGATGATTTTTACCGTGACATGCTTTTTATTATCTAATGAGGCAGGATTTATCAAACCTGTATGTTAGCTTCAATGATTTATGTACTTTTCTAAAAAACTCAAAGTGATCTCACATCTTCTAGCTACATCTAAGGCTGGACAATAATTCAATATCCATACATACTATAACATAATTTAATTCAATAAAAAGTGATGTAACATTTTGGATATTTCAATACACATTATAACCTGATATTACAGCATGTCTCAGTGACTGACGTTCTTGGTTTGTACAGTTTTTTTAAACCTTACATCGGAGCAGCTTTATTAGTGTGCAGGCGTTTGTTATTTCATTGTTGGCGTTCTTTCTGGAGCATTTATTTAGTCTCTACCAATTGAAATGAAGAACTATACTGTGATATAAATGTATCATCTAGCTCTGAGTACAGGTAATGGAATCATTACAGAGAGAAACTTCAAACAAATTAACTTTAGATTCTAAAATTTAGGCCTTGAAAATCACTGATGGGATTTAGATGCAACTAAAAAAACAAAAGCAGAGGAAATCTCTAAATGAACCATTTACTGAAGAGACACAGCTGTGAAGTAGCAATTTTAACAAACTTTTCTAAGTCCTTTTTTTTTTTTAAGTTGTTTGTTTTTGCTGTCAGGAGGCTTGTTGTCACCTGACCATAGGTAACGAAAATGAGGCACCATGCAAAGCCTTTTGCTAATTTCCCATCTCCAAGGGAGGTCGCTTGTCACTTGCATTAACATTGGCTCAGGCGCTCAGTCTTTTGCATCACTGAATGCTGGTTTGTTTGCAAGATTAAGTCCGACCTTTAAAAAAAAAAAAATAAATAAATAAACTCTACTGCAATTACAAGCAGCAGTAGATCAGTCGATGCATCGACGTGACAACAGCGAGTCGCTTCAGGGTCAGCGCTCGGCCATATTTGGTCAAGTTAAGGTAAGCAAACAAAGGGTTAATTAGAAAATTGGATCTGATGCCTGTAGATAAGAGCTGCTGGGATTTCACTCAAAACATGAGAATCTGCTGCTTATAAAACAAACTTCATTAAGTTAGTGAAACTGACAGATACAGCAACTGTAAAAGAGAAAACATCCCATTTTTTCAGGATTTCTGCAGATTTTATTAACATCATTGTATAAAGATAGAAAATCATGTTCAAACAAGTGAAATAAAATAAAAACAAATCTAAAAAAAGAGCCTTCAGGGGTTTAAACTGATACTCTGACGGCACATAAGGGTTTTCCCCCAGGAGAGCTCAGTCGCAGATGTGAATACAAGCTGCTTAATTCAGTCTGCGGAACAGCTGGGTCTAACTCTTCTAAAACATTCAAAAACATGAACTCCAAAGCACAACAGTTAGGCGGCACAAAAAGCAAATAATCGCACAGCATGAGACACCGACAGGTCAGGCACTGGAAAAGTAATGTTTTTTTTCTTACCCCGGCTGAATGGACCATGCATTTAGGAGCTCCTGTTGTTCCCGACGAGTACATGATGAACAGAGGATGGTTGAACGGAAGCTGCTCAAACTCCAGCTGAGGGAACTGGTCTCCTTCGCCTCTTCCAGATGCCAAAAAGTCATCAAGAAACTCGCTGCATATAAAGAATAAAAACATGTTATATCAGAGATGAAAATTATACCAAACATATTTATTTACATGTGTTTTGTGACATTTGAAACTTAAACAACAAAACCCTATTAGCACAAACCTGTTGGGAATTTTGGAGAGGTTGGTCTCTTCCTTGGACAAAACGTAGGGAATCACGACTACTTTATTCAGGTCGGGTAAACCTGGAGGGAGGGGAAGAAACAGATTGTTTCTATTATCCATGTGCATTTATCTAGAAGCCAAAAAAGTCTGACAGGATTAACAGAATGTAACTGATAATTGTTCATCTTTCATATATTTTTAAAATCTTACTGTTGGTAGAACTCAATTACAGAAATTAGCTATTCAGATCTGTTGGCAGTGTTTTGAATGACTACAAAAAAAAAGAAATTCTAGTAGGTTTAACTCAAACTTAAAAAAAAAAAAAAAAAAAATTAGATCACATTAAAACTTATTTAACAACCCAACCTTTAACAACGTTTATCAGTTTTTCCATGTGGTCGTGCGTTTTCCCGTTGTAAACCACAGCAGCTACTGAGAAGATCAGTTTGGGCTGAATTTGAGAAAATCTGTCTAGAACACCCTGGAAGGAAGAAAAGAAAAAAAAAAAATTAATTAAGACCAGTCGGTGGGTAAAGACAAGTAATGCCCTAAAATCCTTCAGGAAACAGGATGACACATTGGGCTGACAGATCACCCTAATGGTACGTGGGCTCGTTTCATAAAACACCCTCCTAAAGTAAACCAAGAAAAACTGCATCATGAATCATGATCTCGCTACAACGGCTTGTTTACTGACTTTCTGGGTATTGTGATGAATCACAGTCTAGTTCAACTTTAAACAGAATAAATATGCAGAAAATGAAAACAAAATATATGTTTGACCAACGTTTTTAAGCCATACTATCGATATCAACACGGTAAACCAAAATCCCAGCTAAGGGCATGAAAGCAGCAGTTTTCATTGAGCTACTAGGATGTAATTCTCAGATCATCCAGAGGGGGCAGTAACAACCTGATACAGAGAGCAGAAACTTCTTGATAGCAAAGTCTTAACATAAGAAGCTTTTGGGTAAAGTTTTTAAAAAATGCAGACATCTTCTCAGTACCAAGAATAACTTTTGTGAAAAGAAAGAATAACAATTTTTAAAAAATAATAAAACAAACGAACTACTAAATTCCTCCAGCACTAATTATAGGACGGTATACCCGAAAGACTATTTTAACCTGATTTAGCACATTTTTGATTAAAATACATTAGAGATCAAAAGTCATAGTTTAGAAACAGACTCCAAGATATAGTTACTTACATTAACCCCAAAGTCGACCGATGTGGAGCTCCAAATGGCCCCGATGCTGGCTGCCGCCAACATGGCTTCTACTGCATGGATGCCGTTGGGCAGGTAACCTGAGGGGCGAAAAAGAAGAAGAACAAAACTTAAAGACGTAAAAGAAGTCCTTGCATCCAACATATTTTTAGTAGTCAATAAACACCAAAACAGCGAATAAGTGTGATCAATCAATATTAATAAGATCAATATGTAGAACATGTAAATACTCATTTTAACGACAAAAAAATTTAATAAAATTGGTTATAATTAAAGAAGTATATCCGAAGAAAAAAAGACCCTTTAATCAAGATCATACTGGAATATTTCTCATGCGTCAGTAACTGCAGAATATTGTCTTAGGATTACCAGAAACTACTGTAGAAATTCACCTATTTGTTATATTTTGAACTTAAAGATGGTAAAAATGTAGTTTTTAATGGAGTATTGACTTGGAAAATGTTACAGTAGCCTAAACTTCCTCTAAAAACAGAAGTTGTTCTGCAACGCCCTCATGCATCTCGATAATCCAGGTAGAAAGAGAATAAAAACTTTTGGATGGGCTCTTAATTGATGTAATGCTTCATCTCTAAGAAACTTCTTCAGGCTGATGAGCTGCAGGTAAACTCAGCCGTATAAAGTGGTGAAAGGTGAAAAGGAGGAACCCAAACCCAGAACCAGATCAGTGGTCATTCCGAACGTTGCGGAAGTCTCATGGAAAGTCAAGCGTTTGTTTTCCAAACATGACTCTCAAATAGTTGTTCAACCCCCAAAAAAAACTTTACAGCGAAGAGTAGAGCCGCTTCTCTCCCCCATCAAGAGGAGTCAGCTGGGGGATCTGGAACATCTGTTTCAGATACCCCCCTGGACGCCTCCCATGGAAGCTGTTCATGGCCTGTCCCACCAGGAGGAGGCGTACAGAGGAAAACCCAGGACAAGCTGGAGAAATGATTTTTCTCGGCCGGCCCTGGAAGCAGTCAGGCTTCCTCTAAACCAGCTGGAGTAGCAGTCTAGGGAAAGGAAGGTCTGAGCGTCTCAGCAGAGACGGCGGCCCCACAACGCCGTTCCAGAGAACCCGCACGAGTATTAATGATCACTGATGATCAGAGAGCAGAAATATGGACGTTATGGGCAATAGCTTTCTTTCTCTTGGCCATTCCACACATATATACTCTAGATAAACACATCTTGTAATTAGTTGCATGTTTCATTTTGGTTTGTTTTTACCTTCTTGAAAAAAAAAAGACTAAAATGATTTCCATCTTAAAAGGTATACTTTCACTTCATTAAAAAGGTTGATTGCCTCATATTACTACCTTTTGCAGTAAAAATATGAAAACACTGTCAACAAAGGTTGGAAATCTTTGTACCTTTTACTGTGAGATTATTTTTATTTACTCTGTAGCATCAGCAGCTCAAGACTTGTAGAAAAACACAAGAAAAAATAAGAAGTAAAACAAAGATTAAAATATTACAACAAGTGGCTTCAAGGATGAGTACAGAGAAAATATGTCAAATTCATTTAATTTGTAATAAAAGGGTTTATACATGAATGAATAACTCTATTTTAATGCTTTTTAATGCTCTTTTAATGCTCTTAGAAATACTTTTAATGCAACCAACAGGTATCCGTCGACAGGCTGCAGCCATGCCCCGAATTCCTCGTTTTCCAACCACTTTTCTTGAAATTGGCATTCTTCCCCATTCTCTAGCTTTTTCTCCGACTCAAGCTTGTTTTCCGAACATACATCTTTGCGATCAACCGGAAGCAGTTCCACGTAAATATATCATGATTTAATATGTCTGATGAAATTGTTTTTTATATAAAAAAAAATTTTTTAAGAAAGCATTTTAAATGCGACAATAAACACATTTAATGAATTTTTATGCCAATTAAGGCCTTAATTAAAAAAAAAAAACTATTTAATAACTTTAATGATTTTTAATGACCCGCAGAAACTGAATAAATTAAGTCAGAATCTCGATTAGAGAAAAAAAAAAGATCGGTTTAGTTTTTTTATTTCAAACATATTTTAAAATAAAACTCAATAGCTTGTTCCTTTGATTAAAAAAGAGAAATAATGACCAGAGGAAATATTCGAATCATTTCCTTGTTTATACAAGCAATAAGTTAACCGACAGCTGCCTAATGGAAAACAAAGACGACACTCAATCAAACATTCTTGCCATAATAAAAACCTGTGCAATTAAAGTTTATCTTTATCTCCCTACAGTTGGACCAAGTCTCTCCTAAATACTCTCCAACATTACATGTTTATCCAGGCTTTCACATTTTGATCTGCTTGAGGTTTTATTTCAGTGAATCCAAACCTTATCGCCTAATAAATGAGATTACTCATGCTCAACATGGAAGCTCTCACGCTACCTTTACACAGAGGGCTGTCTCACTGATAACAGACCTCTAATCTGATCAACTAAGAGTACAACACAGCCAGTAGTTCCAACCAAGTGATCCGAACGGTCAAAGGCAAACAGCAAATGAACGGCGACTTGTGATGAATCATGACTTATCAGCGCCGTCTGGCTGCTGCTGTAACCAGGAAGCTCATTACGGTAGGGATGACACGTTGGGCTGACGGATCACCGCCCTGCAACACCGGCTCCTGTCATATATTACCAGCATACAATAGACCAGGAAAAATTGCATCATGAATCATGATCTCGCTACAACAACTTATTTGACTGGCTTCGTGGCTTTTTGTGATGAATCACCGTTTTGCTATGCTGCACGGGCGAGGCTTAATGGTTTAGCCACGCACACTTATTTAAAACATAAACACTTTAGATAACCATTAATATCTGTATTTATAGATGTAATATTATGGTGAGGGGGTTCTTAAAACAAACAAATATTTAATGTAGGGATGAAATCTGATCCAAACATAAAGTAAGGAAACTAAACTCAGTATGAATGAAAAATGCTCGCGGTCGGACGTGTTCTGTTGTAAAGCAAAGCTGATTTCATCAGCTAAGTGCTTATACAGCTTTTAGACTGCGGACATTGACAAAACATTTTAGATGCAATCTGAGGACAAGGACATCTCTGCGTCCAACATGCATTAAAGGGAGGACAATTATTGAGATGGAGGAAAAAGCATAAGCCAGGGTTTCTCTTTTCCTTTTTGGTCTGTTTTTTTTTTTTCAGACCCTCTTTTCACACAAAGCTTCCCGTTTTATCTAATGAAATCTTTAGTGCTTTAGCTCTTGAATTCCCTTCGATGTCCATCTTCAAACTAAGCGTAAAGACAGAAGCTTTCATCCACTAAGCCGAACAAATGATTTGATAATAGCAGCTTGTTTTCAGCAGATTTAAAGGACTACAACATCCACCATCACCTAAGAAGGCACATGAGAGTCAGCTAATTCAGTAGAAAGGCATTTTTAAACCAGTATTACTAAAGCTCCAAACAAAACTCCTAAGACATGCTGCTGGTGTGTTTATTATTGGCTCCACCAAGGTTTGAAAACAGCTTTTGGAAAAAATATTTTGTTTTAGCTCTCTGCACAAGCTTGCAAAACGGTTCTTTGGGAACTCTGTGTGCATTAATTAGCAACATTACGAAAACCAGAGGGCAAAACATTAATAATAATGAAATTATTATTAATGTTTGGCCATTCATCCATGTTTTGGAATTGATAACTGGATATTCCTGGTTGACAGAGGTGCAATTATTTAACATATACTCATGTCTGTAAAGTATATATATATATAAAAAAAAGAACTTAACATATTTTATTACTAGAGAAAAATGAGCACAAAAGAAAATGTGCAGACAGAAATAACTTTTACACATTTAAACATTTTAAAATTTGATGCAAAAAACCCCAAATAAATTGAAACTGCTGTTAATGGCCGGTTAGAGAGGTTAAAGCACTAACCCTAACCCTATCCACCTCCAACATATGAAGGATCTCTGCAGACTCTTACATCTTACATCTCTTACATTATTACAAGTTGTGTAAAGTGTATTATTAGTGCAGACTTGTTAGAAAGTTAAACACTTCTTTAAATGGTTTTTGAACTGAGCTTATTTGTGAATCCATGAAAAACTCTGTAATAATAAAACAGATTTCAGGAAAAAATGTTAATCGGCTGGAGAACTGCATGCGAGAAATCAAGCTGAACTTCAGCTTTATGTAAAACTTTGTACCACAGTGAGCAGAAGCACCAGGGACTCACTATTAGGACTGAAAACCCCAGAAATGTAGCAAACTTTTTGCAAATGAAAGCTTTGACATCCATTTTAATCCTGAGGCATGCTGAAGTGTTCGACGTCTCTTTTATAAATGATTGGATCGGTATAACAACACGAGGTGCTGAGGAAAAATATGCAGCCTCAGCCGCCCCTCCTTATACAAATATCAACTTTGAATAAATAAACGGTGACATTCATGGAGAGCTGAAACCTGCGCCAAAAACCTTCCCTCATTACCAGGGAATACACACAACCAACTCCTGCTGCAGCGTGCTGCAGAGAGAAAGGATGTGAGAAGAGGTCAGAGTTGATGTTTTTATAATTGGTATATCTGATTTAATTAGTAAAAGAAAACTAAAGAGTGATTGCAAGTTTGAATTTAACCCTTATAAATTGAATACTTTCAAAATCCATATTTTGCTGCAATTTCATCTACAAGTCTTTGAAGGTATTTCTCCACCAGCTTTGCACATCTAGGCATTAAAATGTCCAAATCTGTTGAGGGTTTTCTTTTGTACTAAAGCTCCGCCCCTCATTCCATCAACGCAGAAAAGCTTTATAATATGAATCTATGACGCAAAGCATGGAGAGGATGTACTTTTCTGTCTGCTGTGCAGAATATGTCTTCCACATGTTGCTGGGGTTCCTGTTCCACTAAAACTTACCTACAACCCTGTCTCCAGTCCGAATGCCCATCTTCCTCATGGCTGCAGCAAACAACGCCACATCACGCCTCAGTTCCCCGAATGTCACCTTCCTGATCTCCTCGTTCCCTTCTCCTGGTGCACAGAGACACAAGGCAGAATCAGTACGGGAAACAGAACAGTGCACACATTTTTAATACAAATTTAATTGGAGTTTGTGAATAATTTACTGTTGAATATTGCGCCCCCGTAGGTCACATCTAAACTAACATCAACACGTGAAAACATGACAAACAAACTGCAGGCGACTGTTTAAGCTGTAAGAACATCAGAGCAGACAGGAATCTGAGTGACACCTCCCTGACTTTCACAGAGGCTCCACAGCTTTCTGATCAATGGCTACTTCTACAATTACATTACAGTTCCCCAGGGATGCTGGCCTTAGGCAAGACACTCTCCAGAGAGCGCACACACAAACAGACGCCAATAAAGGGCCTATCCATTAGTATATGACATTGACTAGCAGTGAAGGGAGCAGCAGATAATTCAATTACCAAGTGACGTCAGACACTCCCCACCCCATGACCCAAGTCTTCCTCTACACTCTCAACCTTTTTCCTGCTCATACGAGCAGCGTTCAGGAGTCCACTGGAAAAACGATCTAGAAATAAGCAAATTAAGTGTATTTACCCTTAATTTGAGAAGGTAAATGAGATAGTTTGCCAATGGAATGAGTATTTTTAGTCTTAAAATAAGATAATTAGAAAATATGCACTACGACCATAAAGTTGTGTTTTCTTATTTTTAGTGTAAATTGTCTTGTTCCATTAGCAAGATGTCTCTTACCTCCTCAATCCAAGAACAAATGCACTTATTTTAAGAAAAATAGACTTATCCAGATTTTACTTTTATCCAGTGTAATACCCCTGACCCACTTCCAGTTCTTTGATCTGGCAGAAATTTTGCATGTGCAATTTTTTATATCCATATAGATTTAAGTGGAATAATACAGCTCTGTACTAATTGTGGTTTCTGATTTACGGGTGTTTAAACCGAGCTAAAATGGAACCTACTGAGTTTCGAACAGCGATCCGGATTTTGCATTCGAAAAGACGCACACCAAATAACTTATGGTGATCGCAATAAGTTACTTTCGTTTTATTAAAAGTCTCCCGTGGTGTGCGTCCTTTGAAAGACAAAAACTCCACTCGGTTGAAACACCTGTAAATTAGAAACCACAATTAATTCAAAGCTGTAATTTGCCACTTAATCAACAAAGATATAAATGATTGCACATACACAATTTCAGCTAGATCAAACAACTGGAAGTGGGTCAGGGGTTACTTATTGAACACCCCTCGTATCATGTGACTAAAATAACCATCTACCATGAAACAGCATTTTCCATCTACCTACTTGCACAGTAAAGAGCCACTTTGTCCTGATCAGCGTGCTTAAGCAGGTTCTCGGCGTAGTTGAGTCGAGCTCCTTTAAACCACTCTGGAACATCTGAGATCCGCTTGGAAACGTCCACCACCTGGAAACCCCCCCAACGTGAAAGACACAAAGGAAAAGGAATCAAAAAGCGAATCATTTCAGTCTGTTCAGTTTCTCGTACTCAACAACTCCCCTTAAAATACAATATGTGGTTTGGCACGTTTAATATTTACCTATAAAACAGCTCAGTTTGTTTAAAAGTCCAAACAAGCCGCCAGCGAGGAAGTAGCCCCGCCCACAGCGCACTACTGCTGGCCTGACTTAATCACTGTGTCCCACACACGTCTACGTGGTCAAGAAGACAGTGATAGACACGTGTATAAAAGAGGTGTGTCGATCAACACCTCATTTATTGCCTTAAGGAAGGGCATGCATCCTGAAACTTAGTTACACTAAGATCATCGGCAGCAATGGTGAAAAGAAGAATACTTTAAAATAAATTAGCTCTACCCTTAATTCAGTTCAATGTTTTTATATAGTGCAGAACCAGGCTCAGTGTGAGCAGCCATCTGCCGAGGCTGACTGGAGTTCAAGGAGACAGAAGCAGAGATACAAAAAGCAGGTGTGAAGGGCGGCCCCGTCCAGGAAACACAATGTCATTCTAGCTTGTCCATTTTTACAGGCTAGAATGAGTTAATACAGACAAAAATCTTTCCTTAAATCCAGTAATAAATGTAATTGAAATTTATTACAGGAAAAAAGATAAACTAACCTAACCCAATCGGTCAGCTAAAGGCATGTTTTAGAGTCTCTCTACCAAAGTTGACGATTAAGCGATTACTAAATTAATTGATTAATTGATGAATCACCATTTATCTGATTAAATGCTTCAGCCCTACAGAATAAAGAAATGTTTAGCGCCCTAATACATGGATGGTACAAACCATCCACAGCTAGATGCCATCTGAATTACATTTTACGACAAAAAACTCTGTTAAATCTTGTTTTAAAGTATTGCAACAGATATTTTAGGGCAAATATTTATGACATGTTGTTTTTTCTGAACAAGGTAGAATCTGAAACATTTTGGATCGACTTCATATTTGATCGTCTTTTTCTGCTGCACTGACCTCCTCATATGGTTTGGAGCTGACGACTCCACAGAAGCGCCACACCTCTGCCCAGAACTCTGGATAACAGTCCACAGACCACTGGTAAAGATCATTGTAGTTCGCTGAAAGAGAGAAAATGTTTATATATTAATATAAACCTGTCCTTTAGGGGTCAGCCTAGTTCAGCTCACACACTTTAAATAAACAGATTAAAGAATACTCTAATACTGTTTGTTTAGTACAATCTCCTGTATGACACGGATGGTAGGATCTGTGTTTACCTGGTGAAGTAATGGCGCAAGAATATAACAAACAAACCTTGCTGCTGCAATTCCTACTGATCCTTTTTAGATACATACAACTTACATATGTTATTTATTTACTGAAAACCTTTCTTGAAACAGTCCTCACTGACGTCACGTTTGAAACTCAAGGTTTAACAACAAATACATATCGATATATACCAATTAGATCAAGAATTTAATCACATTTAGGATAGGCTGGCTCCAGTCATTAGAATAAAATATAATTTAATCCATATTGTATTGTGACAGACTTTGTGATATCTGCAAAACATTGGTATTGTGATCCAGACAAATAAAACTAGCGACTAATAACAGAACTGGTAATACGATCAATACAAGAACATTGGGGCTGCACAGTTTCAGGAAAATACTTAAAAAGGTCATTCCTGTCGAGAAACCATCCAGAAAGCAACAACACAACGTTCCCCCCTGCTCCATGAGCATCAACATCTCAGCCAGTAAAGGAATCCATATAACAGGCCAAAAAATATAAAAATATAAGTTATTTTTAGGTTTTGTACAAGTATTTCCATTATCCTGATAGCTCTACATCAGGGGTCGGCAACCTGCGGGTCCAGGGCCACATATAGCTCTTTAATGCACCCCTTGCGGCTCCCTGGAGCTTTTTCAAAAATGTATAAAAATGGTAATAGATAGATTTATTTTGTTTATTTATTTTAATATGGTGTGCAGGAGGTCAAAGAAACATCCATTATGTTTCCAACATTTCTATTAACAAAGATATGCATCACAGCCTGCAACAGGAGTTTCAGCACAGCACGGTGCCAGGCAGGTGGCTGTGGTAAAGCAGCGGGGTTTTCCTGGGCCATGGATCCCAAAGAGAAGAAAAAAAGGACGATAGACTATGAGAACAGAGGATTCAAAGAAGAATGGACCAAATCATTTGCTTTTATTATCAATGCGGAAGGATTGCCTGCATGTTTGCTTTGCAAGGAGAAGTTGTCAAATAATAAAAAGAGTAATTTGGAAAGGCATTTCCAGGGAAGGCATGCTAAATATGCAGCCGTCCACCAGGTTGGGAGTGAAAGAAAAGTGTCATAGCAGAACTTCTGGATAAATTAGAGGAGAGCAAAGATAGACTTAAGAAGTGGATTGCATCTCAAAACTCAACTACTGCTGCTAGTTTTGTTGCAAGGATGAAAACAGTTCACAGATAGAACAGGTAGCACTCTTATGCAGGGATGTGAACTTCCTCCACTTATTCCCTCAAAACCCTCAAAATAAAAGGAACAATAAAAAAAATCTGATTTCCTTATTGTATTTCTATGATTTGATCAATGCAAGAAAACCTAACACAATAATAATGTAATGGAATTTAAACTTAAAGCACCAAATACCATACAGCCGATTAGTCACATGATGTGACATTTGCTCCATGATAAACATTTAATCATTAATGCTTATTTAAGCCTTTATAGTCCTTTTTTATAGTGGGCTAATACACTTAGAGCGCATGTTGCAATACAAAGCTTATATAAGACTTTTAAATTTTTGCAGCTCCAGACAGATTTGGATTTGTTGGTCCAATATGGCTCTTTCATAAGCTAGGGTTCCTTATTTACATATAGACTTTTGGTACTCAATCTGTTGCTGGTTAAAGCATTTAGTAGGTAATTTATGTGTCTAATAGACGTACATATTTTGTGATAAATATTTGTAAGGGAAATAAATCTCACTTACATCTGATCTACACTAACAGGAGAAAAAAAGACGTTCCAAAGCCCCTTAAAAAGAAATATGATGACCAAAATTGAGAACTGCCACTACAAACTGAAGCAGATGAACAGGAACCTTCTGACATCATGTCTCCTCTCATTCTAATGAGCATGAAAAAAGCATTATTAAAACAACCTATCCAGGTTTCTCTCTGCATTTTCAACTTTAAAAAGCAACATGTTAACTAAAGGAAGCTGTGGATGTTTGTGTTTGCAGCTAAAACTTGAAGAGATGCAAATCTTTAGCAGTTCAATTAAAGAGTCAACAGGAGCTAGTTTTATAGCGTGGTGCAGTTTTCAGCACTGCTGCCTTGTAGCAGAAGGTCCTGGGTTCACATTCAAGTTGCAAGTTAATCTAAATGTAGTTTACACTGTCTCCGTGATCATGAGTGGGTTCTCTCTGGGTACTCTGCCCTCCTCACACAGTCAGAAATAGATTTTGCTTTAATCAGGTGCCTGCCTCTGTGTTGCCCTGCACCCAATGTCCCTAAGGAGGTGGCCACTAGCAAACAGACAATCAATAGATGGATATATACATACATATATATATATA